TACACTATACACTACTACAGTATCCACTATACACTACACCACTATACACTACACTACTATACATTACTATACACTACACGACTATACACTACTACAGTATACACTACACTACTATACACTATACATTACACGACTATACACTACTATACACTACTATACACTATACACTACACTACTATACACTATACACTACACTACTATACACTACACGACTATACATTACTACAGTATACACTACTATACACTACTATACACAACACTATACACTACACTATACACTACACTATACACTACACTATACACTACACTACTATACACGGACACTCGCTCTTCCTGGGGACTTCCCAGGCCAGCCGAGCGACATCGCCCCGCCAGCGTGGTCCTGGACCGGCTCCGGGACCTTCGCCACGTGGGACGACGCCGCTTGCTGCTGCCCTGTGGAGATGCAGGGGGAGTCTACCGGGGGGGGGGGGCATCCTTACCGGGTGCCCGAACCACCTCGACTGGCTTCCTCTTCGATGTGTAAAGAATACATTGTGTCTGCCTTATCGGTGTTGTTCATATTATCACCAAATGAAGCGAACGATAACTTGGATAGGTGCACGTATGCAGGATGTAACGATGTGATTTCAGTTTGTGGTTAGTGCTTGTCGTGGTTAAAACTTGACTTCGGTTGTGGCTGTACAATGGTTGCACGGGTTTAGCGAAAATACTGATACACGTGGTGTTGAAGGTGACGTAAACATTGCTGTTGTTGCTACTGTCACATTGTTGTTGATGTCTTATTGTTGTTAATGTTGTTGATATATCATATTGTTGTTATTGTCAACAACAATATGATATATCTGCAAGTCGTGGATGTTGTTATAATGTTGGTGATGTATCAAATCGTTTTCGGTGTCCATATGTTGTTATATTGTTGTTACAGATGATTTCAAGTAGACCCAGGCATGGCGTAGGTGTATATGCGTGTGTATAAGTGCACATTCTTCTCATCATGCACACGCGTAATAACAACAGCGACTTTGTCAATACACTATTGGATGAGGACCTCACTCACCGCGCTCGACGGTTCGTGGAATGGTATTTGACCATACTTCACCACGCTGGTCAGCGCGGGCTTCGGTGAAGACGTTACGCAATAGTTATTTATATATATACATATACACACCTGTGTATACTAATTATATAAGTTAGACAAAGATCCCCCGTATAGTCTTAACAGATTGTAGGGGCAAGTGCTCCTATGAAGGCCGGAACGGTACACGAGGGGGGGAGGGGGTGGTCAGCACCACGCCCGACCGCCTTTGTCTCCCCAGTGGCGATGTTTACACAGCGCACCAGGTACTCATTTGAGGCTGAGTCTACCTAGGGGAGATCCGGGACCGGTTTAGATAATCGACACTGATTTTGGCCGTGAGCGAGAATCTAACCCGGGTCGCTGGGTTCATAGCGCAGCGCGCTAACCGCTGGACTATTAACTGTTAGTGTGCATATGTACACACACACAGTTAATATTCATACGAACTGCCACTAATGCAGACGTACAAATGCACGCACTTACAAAGACCCAACGCGCGCACGTGTTCATTGAAAAAGGGTTAATGCCCGAAACGTCATTTCCATACATTGTACGTGTATTCTGCTGCAAGGCGATGTTTGTCACGGGCGGAGTTAAGTTTGCATCTTCGTTATCATCAGCCATGGTCACTCCACTGCTGGGTGAAGGTCTCCCCAAATCCGTCGCTATCTCTCGCGATCCTGCGATGTAATTCCATTCTCGCGTATGACGGCAGCATGTTCAGAAGCCAAGGTGCCAATGTCGATTTAGGTCTGCTCACCGCGACGAGAGGGCTTCGGGAGAGAGAGTTCGTGTAACGTTGCTATTCCTCCTTCATCGAAGGAGCACATACTAAAGTTGGCTTACGATATTGACCATAGTTTGGGTTGCATGGCCACAATCGCGCTACTGTGGCTTGTCTTTGTATGTACGTATGTTGAACTTCTTTCGCACCATACGTAACCAACCGTGCTAATCGAAGGTGCGTGGGAAGGACAACAAACGCATCTCCATAGGTCTCTATATCTCTACGGGTTTACGATATGGTCCATAGTTTTGGTTGCATGGCCGGAAACACACCACTGTGGCTTGCATTTAATCTATCTCTGTGTCTATTTGGGTTTCTCTGTGTCGCTATGAGTCTCTGTTTCTCTATGGGTTTACTATATGGGTCCATATTTTGGGTCGCATGGCCTCGATCGCACTCATGTGGCGCGTGCCTTCAATTTTCGGTTCGCGAAGGCGATGTGTCCATCGGCCTGGCGTCGATGGACACATGTGGTTTGATGGTTCCACCACCAGTGTCGTCGAGGAATGTCAAAGATGGGGGGTGCGAGGTTTAGGTCTCGAATTAGGTAAAACAAAATTCTGGAGGTCTACGCTGTTCCACTGAGCAGGTGAGATGCTAGGATGGTGACAGCAGCAGCAGCGTTCTTCTGGATCTGGGTGAGATGCTAGGATAGTAACAACAGCAGCAGCGTTCTTCTGGATCTGGGTGAGATGCTAGGATAGTAACAACAGCAGCAGCGTTCTTCTGGGTCTGGGTGAGATGCTAGGATAGTAACAACAGCAGCAGCGTTCTTCTGGATCTGGGTGAGATGCTAGGATGGTGACAGCAGCAGCAGCAGAAGCGCTCTTCTGGATCTTGGTGAGATGCTAGGATGGTGACAGCAGCAGCAGCAGCAGAAGCGCTCTTCTGGATCTTGGTGAGATGCTAGGATGGTGACAGCAGCAGCAGCAGCAGAAGCGCTCTTCTGGATCTTGGTGAGATGCTAGGATAGTAACAACAGCAGCAGCGTTCTTCTGGATCTTGGTGAGATGCTAGGAGAGTAACAACAGCAGCGTTGTTCTGGGTCTGGGTGAGATGCTAGGATGGTGACAGCAGCAGCAGCGCGATCTCTGCACAAGGGATGGGATCGGAAGTCGATTCGGCGGCAAGAAACATTGTTGAAGTCTTGGCTGATGAGTCGGTAGCTGCCGTAATAATCCGCACCTGTTTACGAATCTGCACACGTGCTCGTGAGGTTGTACGTCACAGCAGCAGAATCTCGCATATCCGCAACCGTCGCTGTATCCCGCACCTCCGATGATCACGGTTGGCTACGTACGGTGCGAAAGAAGTTCAGCGTACATCCGCCCTGACCAATAAACCGTGCGCATCTAGTGCCGTATTTGTCAGAGGTGATGTAACTCTCATAGATGTTCGCCAATTTGACTTTTTCCGTAACAAATCCGCCGATAGCTCCGACCCCAGTGGTTCGTGTATGTACATCCAGACACGCGTACAAACCAAAATAGATTTCGCACATGCTTTAATCACATGTATCCTTACACACTACACACACACACAACAAACACGCTTAAACCACACAATACAAGTAATACAACACCATGCACGCATTACTTACGTTAGACATACATGCACATGCTCAACCAGATATAAACATATAATCACACTAAGTTAATATATACTCACACTAACATCACATACACACATTCGAACATAACATACACAGATCACACATGGCTTCAACAATACATCACATATACACTTATACAGTACTCATAACACATAAACACATCAGATATACAAACTATATCATATATACTTAGAACACATACACACAATAAATCACATACACATATACTAACTCACACATATATACACTAACTTCACAAGACACATTTTATATTCAAATACACACATTTAATGACACACTCACATTAAATAAAATAGTACACACACGAACATCACGTAAAACACATGTTAGTCAGATACACACATACACATTAATTCACACATACACATTAACATTACATTACACACATACGTAATCCAGACAAACAGCATACGTATTAAAGCACATATACATAAACTACACAAACTATATACACAAACTACCATCACATATCACGCATACATAAAAATCACATACACAACATCCACGTATATTAGGACACAAAGACAAAGATCCCCCGTATAGCCTTAACAGACTGTTGGGGCCAGTGCTGTTAGCGAGCACCTATGAAGGCCGGCACGGCACACGAGGGGGTGGGTGGCCAGCACCACGCCCGACCGCCTTTGTTTCCCCAGTGGCGATGTTTACTACACACCCCACCAGGTCGCCGGGTTCGTAGCACAGTGCGCTAACCACTGCACCACCGCTCCCCTGCACACACAAACACTTAGGGGTACAGACACCACGGCGTCCCATTGAATTATTTTAGACCGTCCAGCCAACTCGAGGCCAGTCCCCATCCACCCAGACCCCCTCCACCCAGACCCCCTCCACCCAGACCCCCTCCACCCAGACCCCCTCCACCCAGACCCCCTCCACCCAGACCCCCACTACCCAGACCCCCTCCACCCAGACCCCCTCCACCCAGACCCCCTCCAGCCAGACCCCCACTACCCAGAACCCCACTACCCAGAACCCCACCACCCAGACCCCCTCCACCCAGACCCCCACTACCCAGACCCCCTCCACCCAGACCCCCTCCACCCAGACCCCCTCCAGCCAGACCCCCTCCACCCAGACCCCCACTACCCAGACCCCCTCCACCCAGACCCCCTCCACCCAGACCCCCTCCACCCAGACCCCCTCCACCCAAATCCCCTCCACCCAGACCCCCTCCACCCAGACCCCCTCCACCCAGACCCCCACTACCCAGACCCCCACTACCCAGACCCCCACTACCCAGACCCCCACTACCCAGACCCCCTCCACCCAGACCCCCTCCACCCAAATCCCCTCCACCCAGACCCCCTCCACCCAAACCCCCTCCACCCAAACCCCCTCCACCCAGACCCCCTCCAGCCAGACCCCCTCCACCCAGACCCCTCTCCAGCCAGACCCCCACTACCCAGACCCCCACCACCCAAACCCCCTCCACCCAGACCCCCACCACCCAGACCCCTATCCCAACCCCCCACGGCCCCCTCTCCGCTGACACAGACCAGACGCGTCTGTGCCGGGCGATTCTCATGCAAATCTGGGTCCCTGCGCGCCGGGACAGCCGCTTTGAACTTGATTCTTACTGCTACTACTGTTGCTGCTTTGCTTTGCTTGCTGCTACTGCTTCTGATGCTGCTGCTGCTCGTGGTGGTGACTCGACAGCGAATGCGGTCATTTCCACGGACACACGGAAGAGCACGATCACTGATATCGGCAGCAGAGGCAGCAGCTTCAACGTCAGTTACGCAGCATCGCGGTGATTGTTGTCGCTGGGTAAGCCACGTCGGGTTTGCGTGCTGTGCGTACGCACACGGAGAGCAGAGGTCCCAGATAGATCGCAGTACATGGTGGATAGGTTTAAGGCACACGTGTGCATACACACACACAGGGAGAGGGACATGCTTAGAGCACGTGTCGACATTAAATCACGCACATGTGTTGCGTACTGAAACACATAGGCCACCTAAGATCAGATGCAGTAGATACATAGACACACACACTTAAAGCACATAATATACTCATGCTAAGATCAGATACACACGTAACAACATGTATTCATTACATACAGCACGTACTTAATACACGCATACTTAAAGAGTGTACACACGCTTAATTCACATATACATGCTTAATCTCACGCAGACACTTAATCCACACATACACATGCTAAATCAGATGCATACCATACTTGAGTTACACACGTACTAAAATACACATATTTTAGTACGTGTCTTAAGTACATAGATACTTAAGACATATACACATACTAAAATCGCATCTACACATATAACACCTCATGCACGTTTGCAAAAATCATAAATACTTTAAAGACATACTAAAATCGCATGCATACACACACTTAAATAACATGTACACACAATACTTAGAAAACAAATGCACTTTAATTGACATGCACATACTAAATTACATATTGTAAAAGAGCATTGCATGGAGAACACGCACATACATATACACACTGAACCGCATATATGGTCCCATAGACACTCGCTCCATTTTCGCATACATATACCTACTAAAGATGCACTTAAAATATATCTTCGTGTGAAAAGTGTGAATTTACACCGCAAGTGTGAACTTACACTTGTAAAATTAGGTGAATATAGATCATAACCACATACTAAAATTGTGATATATACTTAAGTCGCTCACATAGACTGAATTCACAAATACATACGCGATATCAGATGAACATCAACGTTAAACATGCATACTTACTACGAAATACTCTCTAAATTCACATTATGCACTTAAATCACATTTATGGACACATAGTAACTTTACCGTATGTACACACTAAACAACATTAACACACGCTTGTAGCACATACACCACTGATGAACCACACACACGTACTAAACGTATATACTAAACAACTCATAAACTTTAAACTAAATTGACAAGTATACACACATGCTCAAGTCACGTTCGCGCAAACCCTTAACATTACACGTACGCATTGGTAAAATACTAACACGGCCAGATACACACATATACTTTAACTCAATGAATATGTGAACACATAAGCACACATATCCACAATTACAGAGACACATTAAATAACACATATACACACTAAATAATATAGTATACATACTAACTTTGATATGCATAGGCTGCACACGCGTTATTGAGCATGTACGCAGACACCCAGCGAACTTACACGCATACTTCTGGATTATCGATCACTTAACTTAAGACGCATTCATATGATCATATATAACTTAACTCAAGGCACATACGTTAATTTACGCGCAAATGTATGCATTGCTACACTGTCACTTATATCGCTTCTAAGATATCTACATTGTTATACTATAATGCGTAAACACTCGCACGCACTCAACCCATTCGCAGTGCTAACGCGGAGGATTCAATCAATAGCAGTAGGATCTGATACAGTATATACGTACTATAGTGATTGCATACGGTCCTAAACCAGAAGTGCCTATCAAAAGTCCACCTTCGAAGGATGTCTCCTCTGCGGTCAAACCCTGCACAAGACTTCACCGGCTTTGCAAGGTAATGATCGCCCCGTGTATAGACTGTCCAGCGATGTATCTGCAGCATATCGCTGCATGCGTATTTGCACAACTTCATTCGGAGATGTGTCACTCAGAACGGACGCGCAAGTCACATCAGTAGTGTATCTAGACTCAGTGTGTGACATCGCCTCGACGACTTGTGGCCGAACTCGTGCCGATTATAATGTTCTAAAAGGGCTGGAGAGCCGTGAGTCGCTGGTGTTTATACCATATTCCAGAAGGGCTACAGAGCTGAGTGACTGATGGGTAATTCTAATGATGCTATGGAAGGGTTCTAGAGCTGAACAACGGATTGTAAATTCCTGTTGTGCTCTAGAAGGGCGAGATAACTGAGTAACCGATGTACGTTCTAATGATGCTCTAGAAGGGCCCGAGAGATAGGTGACTGATGTAAGTTGTAATTGTGTGAGAGAGAGAAAAGTGACTGATATAAATCACAGCTATGTTCTAGAAGGGCTGGAGTGCTGAGTTGTGTCAATGTTATTGTTCTAGAAGGGATAGAAAGCTGAATGGATTGCGTGCATCATAATCTTGTCGAAGGGGTAGTGAGCCGAGTGAATAATGTGCATTATATTGATGTTCTCCAAAAGCCAGACAGCTGAGTGATTCGTGAAAATTGTGATAAATGTTCTAGAAGGGCTAGAACGCTGGAATTTGGCACAAATATAGTCTGATTCGGGCCTACAAAATGAAGGCCCTGAGATTGATTCATTTCGTTCAAAGGGCAAGTTCAGCGTAAAGTTCTACTTGGGGGTTCTAACCCGTTTTAAGTTTCCTGCTAAACACTTCAATATATTATCAGCGAAAGCAAGAGAATTCGTCTCCCGCGGAGTGTGGCTCTAAAGCCGTCGACGACGACGACGACAAAAAAAAAACACCCGGACCGAAGTCCCCTCTCGATCACGAAGCCGTGTGCGTACGATTCATCACAATCATCACCACCACCACCACCATCATCATCACCACGGGCCATGATGAATCCGCAATTGGTTTGAAGGCCTTCCCCACACCGCGGCAATTCGTCTCGCTCTCGAGAGACGAATCAATCCGTTGAGCGAAACAAAAAGAACCCCCCCCCCCCCCGCGTGCTGATTTCGCAGCTCCGTCTCCTTGTTGTGTGAGGCTCGTCACACTCCGTTACCCCCCCCCCCCCCCGCTGCACCACCCACACGTCTTGAGCCGTGCGATTCCCTCTTCGTTTGTGACAACTTCGCCGTTAGTTGTCGAGACCGGTCCCGCCGGAGCCCGTGTGGTGTGTGGGAAGGGGAGTTGTCTTCTTAACAGTCAACAGGACGATGTTGCGGTAACTTGGGGGGGCGGGGGCACGTCTACTTTAAGGCCACGTGCTCCCCCCCCCCCGCCCGCCAGCCGACGGCCCTTGGTGTCGTATAAATAATCTGTTTCTAAAATTCCAAAGTGTGCCCGAGTCTCTCTGCTCATTCTTCAGATTGCGTTCCCTTTTCTCTGTCACTCGTCACCCCCCCTCTCCCCTTGCTTCTGATCCAAGACGAATCATAGCAGCCGCTACACTTCACTTAAACTTTCTTATTGACACACATTGTCATTGTTTTATTGTTCTATATATATTTTTATTATTATTGTATTGTTTCCCTTCGACGTGACTTTACCGAAAGAACCGAGAATAACACATTGCGATGTTGCTTGTCGGTAACTTTAACTGCGGTTTTCCATAGCGCCCACTCCTACCTGCTCTCGGCGTCGTTCCGCTTATTTATTTTGAGTCACCACTGTCGCAAGTGTCCGTCGTCTGATGGTCTTTCCCGGTTGTGTCCCTGCAACACTGACATCTTAAGTTGCTTCAGCAAACTTTCCCCGTAAACAAGCCAACGTCGGGCGAACGTTGGCACGCGGTAGGAACCGTTGGACCAACGTCGGGCGAACGTTGGCACGCGGTAGGAACCGTTGGACCAACGTTGCGCCAACGTTGGGCCGAACGTTTACGGGGTTTGTTGTGCGTGACTTTTGTTTTTGCTCAAATTTATGCTGAACCCCAACTTTCGCAGCTTCCTTTATTTCTCAGTTCTTTAACCCATTTCGTGTCCTTCAACCCATGTACGCCGGCCATTGTTCTGATGATGATGATGGTGGTGGTGGTGGCGGTGTCATCATCAGGCAATTCTCAGATGCTTGATGCTTGAATACCTTAGCACTTCCTGTGCCTCTGTTGGTTGAACCCGGATGCTTTCTTTCTTCTTTCTGAAATCGCCTTGGAGTGTCGCTGTGAATAACCCTGGCGAAAGCAGTGCGTGTCCCATCGTGCGACCGTCCTTTGCGCATGGTATTAAGTTGTTCTCATTATTCGTCAATATTTGTTACTCGGGCTGGTGGCTGGTTAAGAGCTTGGATAACTCCATAACAAAGAGGTCTTTTTGGGGGGGGGGGGGTTAGATCGCATAAAAATATGAATGTGACGTTAAACCCGCCACCACCTGACACAGCTAATTGGTAAGGTTTGTCACGTAAACAAAACGTGCCAATTTGTTGCTACGTCAGCACACCGGTTGTGTTGCAGAGTACACCCAGAACGTTGACAGTTTGTTGAGTACCGTGACGTTTCGCTGGTGATTACAACAACCAGCATCATCAGGCGACAGCCACAGTTGTGAAGAAGTCCTCCTGCGCCAGCTTGGATGGCTGCGTCCGATTCTACTGCACTCTGGCACTCGACAGTGGCCACAGATTTGAAGCTTTCGTGACTGCAAGGATCCATACTCTTTGGTTCTATTTAGCTACGTGACTTTACCGAATAGAACCAAAAAGTAGTGGCCACAGACAATATTAATTGTAAATCATCAATTGGTCTTTTTTTTCTGACCCAGATGAACGGCATGCGTGCCGGGTCAATGGTAGAGAAACCTTTCTTAAAAAACAGCTTTGCTCCTGTGGTTGGCTGCTCTTTAACCTTTCAGTTATTCTGTATAGAATTTTGCTGGCCGATTTATCTACGTGCGGTAACACGCTAATGGCCTTTTACTCATTCACGTTTACTGTGTTTGTCATCGTTGTAATACCGTACAATAAGAATAGTCTATTTTCAGTTCAGTTAAACTATTTATATGTAATAATGTATGTCCGCTAATTATGTTCCAACAACTGGTCCCGCTTCTACGATGATGTCCAAAGTCGCACGATCTGGACCTGGAGCCGTTCCCTTTCATCGTACCCTCTGTAATGGACAGTAAATATCACACGCGTGTACTATATTTATGATTCACACATTCGTCAATAAGACTGCGGCCTTCAAAGGAAACAAAATATACATATACCCGGCGACGTTTCGGGCAATGGCCCTTATTCACAGCAACATACTGTATATAATAGGTGACGCTCTAGGCAATAGCCAGAAGGACCATTGCCTGAAACGTTGCCCATTTTAAGCGAATGTGTTGAGTTGATTAATTGTGCTTTGTGGACCACTGCCAACGCAGCAGCAGCAGCGTCGCTACATAATGTTGCCATACCTCTGATGCACTTTTGGCATCAACTACATCTTACATTTAAACGCATCAACAAAAACATTGCTCTTTAACTTCGCGTGAGCTCTTGCCACCGGGCACCGCCGTTAAACTTGGGCGACAGTGCAAGGTGGCAGCGGCTCACGGATAATCGCCAAGAGCCACGCATGGCACGTGCCAATTAATTATCTCGACACATTCACCATTGCAAAATATAGTCTGTTGAAACGCAGACTATTTTATTTCAATTGAGTGCATTTTTTTTTCGTATTCGTACATGTGTATGGGTTATTGAGATGCAACCATATTTGTAACCTTTATCAAACGTATATCGATGGAGAGTTAGGCGTATATATCATTAAGCGTTATAGCCGACGGAGGCTCTAAAACCATATATCCACATCTACATTACTATATCTATATCATTGTAAACTAACAGATTCTAAATTACACGGCATGTTAAATCATCGCGTGTGCTGCTGCTGGGTATATTCCGCACCCTGTAGTGTGGTTTGCTATGTCTAGGTTATGCACACTACGGGTATTGCATTGTATGATACGGACAGATGCTATAAAATGCGCGCATATGATTATTATATACATGTATCGTACCGCATTTATAAAGATCCCCCGTATGACCACAACCGACTTTTGGGGCACGTGCTGTTAAAGAGCACCTATAATGTCCGGTACGACACACGGGGGGGGGGAGGGGGGGCAGAACCACACCCGACCGCCTTTGTCTCCCTCGTGGCTATGTTTAGACACCGCATCAGGGTACTCATTTGAGGCTGAGTCGATATAGAGGAGGCCCAGGACGCGTTCAGATAAGCGTCGCTGGCGTTGACCGTGAGCTTGAATCGAACTCGGGTCGCCGTGTTTCGTAGCCCAGCGCAGCTAACCGCCGCATCACCGCTCCCCATCGCTTATACGACGCCACTGCAGAGACTGCATATATTATTATTGTTGTGTGGATATGGACTTGCTCGAGTCAACAGCGGCGTGTGTGACGTATGGCAGCCCAAGCAGCGTGGCTGTGTCACGTGCCCCCAGCACCCAGCACATTGAAGCTGGAACCCGTGTTTTTTTGTGTGTGCGTGTGTTTGGTTGGCTACGTACGATGCGAAAGAAGTTCAACATACATGCACACACGCCAATGTAAATAGACACCGCTTAATCAAGCACCCATGAACAGCTACATCTGATTTATGATTAGCTTTATTTTTGGGTTACATCGTGAAATGTAGAATGTATTTACATTTGCATTTATTCACTATAACCCTCTGCCACCCGACATAGGCAATCTTATCAAGTTGTCAAGTCATGGGCGAATATTTGCCGATTTGTTTATTTGGTTTTATCAGAATGTTGAAAAATAAGCAACATTTTTACAGTTATGTACGACGTTTCGCTCGTGATTACCGCCACCACCATCATCATCATCATCAGGTGTTTAATGACAGCTCCGCTTCCAGGCATTTCTTGGAGCGCAATGTTGTAATTGTGCTCTGATATGCGTTTATGCAATGTTTTAGCTTTCTCATGTGACACAAGTTGTTTGGATCTGATTTTTATAAACTATAAAACTAGAAACTATTTATTTTATTTTACCAGGTAAGGCCCATTGAGCTGTACAGCTCTTTTTCAGAAGCGACCTGGCCACAAATGATAGCTCAACGAAGTGGCTTATCACGTGGACATGTATAGCAGCTAAATACTCTAAACGCGTGATGTTGATTCTAAATGTCGAGAGAAAAAACCGGAGAGCCAGAGAAAAATCCACGTGACTACGGGGAGAGGGAGACACAAACTCAAAATATACAGTAGGCGTCAGGGTTGGGATCGAACCCACGACCTCCTGTACACCAGACAAGGGAGATAACATCTTACATATTCGCTTTTTTATTTGCTTCGTTGCTGTAGATACTTTATTTTTTATTTCGTTGTTTTGCTTTTTTCATTTTGGTGAACGCGGATCACTCGTGCCAATGAGACTCGTATCCTGCTCTCTTGAATTCTCTCTCACCTGGTCGAACCAAATTCACTTGAATTGAACCCATTCTTAGCACCCAACGGCCAGCACACAACAAACCAGCACCTTTAACATCTGGCCGCGTTGGCAAGATGTTAACTACCTCGCGTGGTATGCAGGAGGTCGTGGGTTCGATCCCGACTCTGACGCCTGCTGTATATTTGGAGTTTGCGTGTCTGTCTCCCCGTGGTCGCGTGGATTATTCTCCGGGTCTTCCCATTTGCTTCCCTCCACATTTAGAAACACGCGTTTAGAGTATTTGGCTGCTATAAATGTCCACGTGATAAGCCACTTCGTTGAGTTATCACTTGTGGCCAGGTCGCTTTTGAAAAAAAGCTACATAGCTCAGTGGAGCTTGCCCGGTAAATTTTAAAGTGTAGTTTAGTTTTAGTGTAGTTTAACCCAGCAGACATAGTTCATGAACCGTGTAACCTAGCTCCCAGCACATTGAACGCAATAACCACCAAGCTTGAACCAATTATCCAACACAAGCATCCAGCACACTGAACCGAGCAGCCAGCAAACACGCCGAGCTAACCAGCACCCAGCATCTTTAACTCAGCTTGACGGAGCAACCAACTTATGTGCATTGAACCAATAAACGAGCACCTAACACCCAGCACCAAGACCTTGGCCTCAGCACCCAGCAACTATCACAAGTACCTATCATTCAGAATCCAGCACCTATAACCCAGCATCCAACACCACCATCCAGGACCTATCACCAGCACCTATAATTTATCCCCTATCACCAATAACTATCACCCAGAACCAGCAGCTATCACAAGTACCTATCACTCAGAATCCAGCACCTATTACCCAGCATCCAACACCACCATCCAGGACCTATCACCAGCACCTATAATTTATCCCCTATCATCAATAACTATCACCCAGAACCAGCAGCTATCACAAGTACCTATCACTCAGAATCCAGCACCTATTACCCAGCATCCAACACCACCATCCAGGACCTATCACCAGCACCTATAATTGATCCTCTATCACCAGCAACTATCACCCAGAACCAGCAGCTAGCACAAGTACCCATCACTCAGAATCCAGCACCTATTACCCAGCATTCAACACCACCATCCAGTAACCAGTACCTATCACCAGCACCTATAATTTATCCCCTATCACCAATAACTATCACCCAGAACCAGCAGCTATCACGAGCACCCAGTGCCTATCACCAGCACCTATAATTGATCATCTATCAACCAGCGCCCATCAGCTAGTACATATCACCCAGCACCTAGCATTTAGCACCTATCACCCAGCACCATACATCCATCAAATATCACTTCTCACCCAGCACCCAGTACTTAGCGCCTTGCAACTATCTCCTACCACTCAGCACCCAGTACCCAGCACCTATTACTTAGAAACTATCTTCTACCACACAGCAGCTATCACCTGCACCTATCACCAGCACCTATCACCTAGCAACTGTCTCCTACCACTCAGCACCTAGCACCTAGCACCTATCTCCTACCACTGGGCACCTATCACTCATGACCCAGTACCCAACGCCCTAACCCTAGCACCCAGAACCCAGTCTCTACCATCAGCACCTTCACTCCAGCACCCAGCAAGCATCATACAGCACCTAACCCAGCACAAAGCACTTTACACTTAGCATCTATCACCTAATACTTATCACCCATTACTCAACACATATCACCTATAACCAAACACCCAACACCAAGGACCTATCACCCAGCATCCAGCAGCTTTCACAAAGCACTATCAACCAGCACGTGTCAATCAGCACCCATGAGCTAAGCACCGATCACCCATCAACTCGCACCCATCACCGATCACCCAGAACCCAATGCCTTGACCCGAGCACCCTGGACCCATCATCGATTACCAGTGGCCATGACCTTGACCCTAGCACCCAGCACAGAACACCTAGAACCGAATCCTAGCACCCAGTGCCCAGAATCAGCACCCATCACCCAACACACAGAACACCCAGTACCTATCACCCAACACCCAGCATCTTGACGCCAACACCCAGCATCTTGATACCAACACCCAGCACCTAGACACCAACACCCAGCATCTTGACCCCGGCACCCAGCACAGAGCCCAGCAGCCAGCACCTTGACCCCGGCACCCATCGCCACTGCGCGACGCAGACCGCGGACGAGAGAGAGAGAGAGAGGGGGGTGGTGGTGGTGGTGTGGAGGGCGTGGGGGAGGGTGCTGCGAGCGAGCGTGAACGCGCGCGCGCGCGTGCGTCGCTCGCTCGCAGCACGCAGGTAATAGCAGTAGGTGAGCCGCTCTGCGCGATCTCGCTCAATGAGTCACCTTACACACGCGGAATGGCATCGTGCACACGCGCGTGCGTCTCTGTGTGTGCGTGCCGTATATGCATAGCAGGCTGCGTGTAGGCGTATGCAACGCTACACATGCAACGGTATGCGCGTAACGCAGGAGGCCTGCCGACGTGCGTAATGCAGGGCCGGTCAGCATATCCGTCGTATCGGTAAGTGTGCAACAATATTCACGCGCCGTGTCTGTGCACTGTCGGTTCACGCTGCGCGAATATCTGATACGCGCGCGCGGTCGCGGTCGTGTTTGTGTTTGTGCTGTAGGGTGTCCGACTGTGTCACCGTAGCTCGATCGTTTCACTCCCCTATCTAGATATTAAGTGATCGCGTCGGACGAGTGGGAGGGTTGCGCGCTCAGGGTATATAAGGCAGCAGGTATTTATATCCAGGTGAGTGCGAGCACACTGATATCCATCGTGACCGACACAGGTGGTCAGTCACGTCAACCAACCGTTGTTTATTTTATATACTTAAAAAAAAAACACAAATCTGTATAATATATGGACTGCGCGTCTGCCTGCCTGCGTGTGCGTTGATAAGCAACGGCATTGAAGCGGTGGGTGGCTCCAGTTACGGTAGCTTTCTATCGGCGCTAACGTCACGCTCCACGCAAGGCGAATTACTCGGTTCACCGACGGCGGTATAGGTGGGGAGGGTGGTGGGGCGTGGGGGGGCCGTGTGGTAAAGTGTTTCGGAGCGTGAGACTTAGCGCATCAAGGTGGAACTTTACGCTGACCGTGCATGCCTGGCACCGCCGTCGCGAATGAACCAAGGCAACCTGGACACCGTCATTGTTTTCGAGGGCTCCAAATAACCCTCCTCCACACCCTCCACACCCTCCCCCCCCCGCAAAAAAAATGTGTGGCTTTATGTAATTGTGTATATCGACACACAACGTGTGTGCGTGTGTGCGTATGCCAAAAATCTCAGCTCCCCAGCCCTTCTGGAACATCATTAGAAGTGACGTCATTCTCCAGGGCTCGCGCTGTGCGCGAGATGCCACGCCTCCTAACTCGGCGAATATCCAGAGGCTGGGATTTAGAATTTTTAAAAATCCTTTAACAAAAAAATCCTTTAAAAAAATGAAGAGTCGATTAGCCCTTTTTTTTGTTTTTTTAAAGAAAATGTATCCCCCTAAACGCATGTTTAATACGTTGTTGAAATAAAATGTCGACTCTTGGACGAAGGCATGCAGCCAACCCACGCCGTTGTTTGTCCTACCGCCGCACCTACGATTAGCACGCTTGGCTACGTACGATGCGAAAGAAGTTCAACGTACACGCGTACGCGTGTGGAGGTGGTTGAGGACAGCGCGGTGGCTGAGACGACACAATCAGGGTCTTCTGCTTCAACATACACACACATCCCCCCCCCCCCCCCCACTCTGCCGTGTTTGGTGAATAGGTGGGGAGGCGGGGTGGGGTCTAGGGGGGTTTGACCATACTTCACCACGCTGGTCAGTGCGGTTCGGTGAGGGCGGTGGGAGGAGAGGAGAGTGGGGGTTGGCAGGACCGATCCAGTTATCATTCACCGCTGGCCATGAATGGGACTCACTTCGCTGGGTTCGTGTGGTACATATGCGTTGTTGACAATGCGTGTCCATGCTTAATTTCTTTATTATTATTATTAACCGCGTATCGAGCGCCACTTCGCTTATCATCAGCACCAGCCACGATCTGTCTACTGCTGGATGAAGGTGTCCCCAAGATGTCACCCCATCTTCTGTGTGCGTAAAGAGCTCGGCGTCGATCCCTCTCCACAGTTGGTTACGGCAACGATTCGAGTGAACATTTGACTAAAATCACAGGTGAACTAAAAAATAATAATACAGGCATGCGGTTTTCTATAACGTCACAGAGAGGAAAGGAAGCTCTAGACGTTTCAGCCATCTGGGTCTTGTTCAGGAAATGTGTGTACTTGTGTGTGTGTGATGTAATTAGTTGTGGGGAGCGGTAGTGTAGCGGTTAGCGCGCTGCGCTACGAACCTGGCGACCCGGGTTCGATTCCCACCAGTGACGATTATTTGAACCGGTTCTGGGCCTCCCCTAGGCCGACTCAGCCTCAAATGAGTACCTGGTGCGGTGTGTAAAAACGTCACCACTAGGGACACAAAGGCGACATGGCGTGGTGCTGGCCACCCACCCCCTCGTGTGCCGTTCTGGCCTTCATAGGTGCTCGCTAACAGCACTTGCCCCAACAGTTTGTTAATGCTGTACGGGGGGTATTTGTCTTGATGTAATTAGTAAAGGTGATGATGTGGTAGCCGCCTTCACAAGTTCGATTCCCGGCCATGGCTAACGATCGGTGATAGATACAGTATCTGAAATGGCCTCCGTCGATTCACCAGTCTGCACCGAAGTGACCAGGCTGGTGAAGTATGCTCAAATAAATAAACCCTCGTGACCGACACGGCGTGATGAAGCCTTCGTCCAGTCGTGGGTACGACAAAGGGCGATTGTGCGATTTGGGTGAATTGTGCGATTTGGGTGAATTTAATGAACACGTGTGCGCATACGTCGACACGCTGCAGGGTGACCAGGAGATTGCAGATGGGTTCGTTAACCCATCTGTGTGGACCTTGAGAGTTGTTACCTGGCAAATACACCGTGGCAACACCCACCCGAAGCTTTCGTGACTGCAGGAATTCATACTCATACTATTTGGTTATTTCGGTAAAGTAAAGTCACCTAGGTAGAAATACCCACGTAATTAATGGTACTCGAACAATTGATTAATGATATTGATAATTATATAAATTGAAACCTCGCGTGAGACGCCATGCACGTGTGTGGTACCCCGCTCACATGCTCGATGCGTCGCGTCAAATGCCGTTCACCACGTGGTTTGCTACGGATCGCCGTAGCAAACCACGTGGTGGTGAGCCCCGTTGCCCTCTCTATGCGGCACGATGCACCCACTAATTTGCAATTAATGGTACTCGAAAAATAATTACGATGATCGTCGTCATTATTTACAGCGCATTCTCAATCCGCTGCTGAATGAAGACCTCCCACCATGGCCATGTCGCTCCGTGGGAGTTGTTTGACCACCACGCTGGTCAGTGCGGGGTTGTGAAGGAGGGGGGTGGGGGCCTCAGGACCACTGATGTTAGCCGTGGTCGGGAATCGAACGTTCAGATGCAGCGCGTGAACGACAGCGTCGTCGATTTGTGCGTGTATGCAATAATTCGTCGTCTGCGCTACCAACCCGAGTTCGATTCCCGCTCACGGCCAACACCAGTGACGATTATCTGAATCGGTTCTGGACCTCCCTTAGGTCGACTCAGCATCAAATGAGTACCTGGTGCGATGTGTAAAGATCGGCACCTGGGAGACAAAGGTGGCCGGGCGTGGTGCTGGCCACCCACCGCCTTCGTGTGCCGTGACGACTTTCATAGGTGCTCGCTAACAGCACTTGCCTCAACAGTCTGTTAAGGGCTATCTGGGGGATTTTGTATTTTTATATTAACTGATACAATATTTTTAAACATTTAATTATCTGGGTATAGTATTTGGCTTGTGCTTAAACTCCCTATAGTGTGAGCGATGCTCAATATGTGTACATGGGGGTGAAGTGTCAATGTGCTGTCAAACACTAATTACCCGATTTTAAGCTTTGGTGACTGCAAGGATTCATACTCTTTGGTTATTTCGGTAAAGTGACGTAGGTAAAATAAAATAAATGAAAACAACTAAATTAGTTGTTTGGTGATGCTGCTGCTACTCCCGTGTTGACAGGTGGTGCACAAGCACAATTAATAAATAAAATAACTCAACACATTCATCAATCACAATGTGGTCTTAAGATAAAATATATACATAATAGGCGACGTTTCGGACAATGGACCTTCGTATGATCTAATATGCGACGTTTCTAGAATTGACCCATATTTATATAACCTTTTTAATAGGGTTTTTTAAAATTTATTTATAAAGCAGTGTTATTGACGTTTGTGTCGAGTTATTTTTTGTTAATTAGCTTATAGGGTGGGCGGGAAGTCCCAATACCCCATTACCGATGAGAAGGCCCATAGCAACCTCGAAGCCAGTAGTAGAGGGACTTCCCGTCCAAGCATATACGTCAACACTGAACCGTGGACATTAATGTAGTTGCATTTAAATAGAGAAAATTACACAAAATAAATGTTTATCATAACACAGGACGTAATTACGGCATACATAGTCTATCTATGGGGTGCTGTCACATATATATAGTACTGAAAGTGTGATGTAGACTTGTGTGTTAACCTTATTATTAGAAACAACTGTAAGAATCTTCTTGGTTCTTTCGACAAAGTCACGTAGAAGGGAAATAATAAAAATAATAAAAATAAAACATAATAAAATAAAATTCTCACGACGTTTCTGCCACAACACAAGCAGCCGTCCTCAGGTGAAGAACCAGAGAAACAGAGCTGTTTCTTCACCTGAGGACGGCTGCTTGTGTTGTGGCCGAAACGTCGTTAGAATGTTATTTGATTATGAGTTAAACGATGACGTCACCCTGCTGCTGCTCTATTTAAAACCGGGAGCAAGAGAGGGCTTTACCATTCTGGCGAATTGCCCGATGATGCTGGATGTAATTACCAGCGAAACGTCGGTACTCAAACTGTAAATGTTGTGGATTCACTCTTCAACACACCGGTGGGCTAAAGTAGTGAATTATTTGTCTTTTGTCAACGTGACACTTTTTTTTGCTGATTGGCCGTGTCGGGTGGTGGTGGGTTACGACACATTTATAAATAACGCGATCTAACCCAAAAACCTTTATAATGAGTTATTTGATTATGTTTTATTTTTATAATTGTATTATTCCCCTTCTACGTGACTTTACCGAAAGAACCAAGCAGATGAATCCTCCCCCCACTGCAGTCGCGAAAGCTTTAAATCGAAATGTAACTGTAAGAATACCGTGAAATAAAGACGTAACTGTTATTTTAGATCGAATAATAATGATAAGTACGACTCTTCTTTATAGAAGGCATAGTAGTATATTTATACGCTTGAATGTCGCTGTTTATATCGATATACAATAGGCGCGTGCATATGCACATTAAAACGACGTATTAGATTGAACAACATGGATACGACCGGGTGGAGTACCCAATGCAAAGTTCTTGAGTTAATCATCACGGACGGAGCGGAATGAAACAGTGGATTGGTGCTGGATGGATTCAGCGGTCACATTTGCAAATGCGATTTGTAATTTTGATCGTTACCTGTGTAGTGTCGATAGTTCGATGTTAACGAGCCATTTTATCGAAGGGCTACTTCGTGTTGTTATTTTGGTGTGGTTGTTGTTGTTGTTGCTGGCTTGCCTAAGCTTGATCAATCGGAACTAATATGAATTAATAATGTGTTCATTTAATTACTCATCATCATTTCTTCATATTTAGTGACTTGCTTACCAATTTCTCTTTGCATTCCTCTGCTTGTTTTGATGATGTTACTTGCTCACCCGCCCCGATAGGTGCCATCCATTTAGTAGGTACGCAAAAATCTGTCAAAAACTTGACTACCTCCCCCCTCTCCCTGTACGCACGCGAACTTTTTAAACCCCCCCCCCCTTCCCCACCTGCGTACGTACGCTTGACCCCCCCACGCAGAAACGATCAAGGATTAATAATATTAACGTGTTTAGGCAAACAGATCGTTCACCGCCGGACTATCTAACTCATTTGTAGGCCAATGTAGACAAATTATTATCGAGGCTTCATCCCCCCGCCCCGTTTCCTATGCGTACGTACATTGTCAGTAGACCCCCCCTCCCCCATACGCAAGCTACGCATTTGGGTTAACCCCCCCCTCTCCCCTTCCATGCGTACGGACTAAATGGATGGCCCCATACTGGACATCTGTGAACAAGAGCTTCACAGCTCATCGGATTCCTCCTGCAGTCTAAACATCAACGTTGTGGCTCTGAATGGACGGAAGGGCCGCTACCATCAACGCCTTCGAGAGGGGGATTGTGGCTGAGAGCGAGAGAGGTTGGTCTCAGGCCACGTGCCGATGGAAGTCGCGGACACTCGAATACGCGTGTAGGAGCGGTGTGGTTCTTCACCTCCGCTGCGGCCTTGCACTCCTTAGGTCCTCCATCGTCGTTTATTTTTTTTTTAATAATAAACACACAGAGGGGTTTTGATGAAACAAAGTAAGTTACACTCACGTGCCCGTGCTTATTTTTGCGTTTCGATGATTTACATCCTAAAACAATTTGGCCACGTCTGCCCCCCCCCCCCCCAGAAAGGGCATCTCGCACCACCACGGCGTGCATGCACCCCAGGCTAGGAACCACCAGTGTAGGGCAACGATGATGAAACCGTGCATAATGAGGTTTTTTTTTTTTGGGGGGGGGGGGGGGTTAGAACGCGCAAAATATTAAATGTGTCGTTAGAACCACCACCAACCCGACACAAGCCAATCGGCAAGGTTTTGTCACGTTAACAAAACGTGGCCAATTCGTCCCCGCTTCGGCACATCGGTGTGTTGGAGAGTAAACCCACAAACATTTACAATTCGAGTAGCGTGAGGTGTCGCTGCCGATTACAAAACCACCGGCTTCATCAGGCGATTTGCCAGAATTGTGACAAAGTCCTCCTGCTTCGGTGATGATGATGATGGGTACACAGTGAAGGTCACAACAAACACGTCTCGCATCCGGCACGTGGATTGAAAATTAACTCATTTAGAAACTGCCATGTTGCGTGTTCGTTTGTTGTCCTTCGCCCCGCACATCCGGTTAGCGCGGTTGGCTAGGTACTGTGCGAAAGAAGTTCAACATAGGGTAACTTACATACGTGTAGCGGCGCGATATGCCGCATATACAAATCACACATGGAACGTCAACATCATTTGCATAAATTCACATGATCCGTCCAGTGATGCGCATATAAATTCACGCATTTTCGGCATCGATTTATTTAGATGTCTAAGTCAAACATCTACAAAGTTAACAAAAAATATATACAGTGTGTAGAATTTGTGAAAAGTTACGACCTAAAAGTAGTTATACTCCTTGAAGAGTTGGATATTTCCGCATTATACCGACCACAATATTTGCTGAAATACTATAAATAGTCATTGTCGAATCGTATGAGTATGCAATATGTATGGATCACCGGTTGTAAAAATAACGTTAACAACATGATTTATAATGTACTGTAATACTAATAATACTCAGGGCATTGTCAGTCCACTACTGGACGAAGGCCTCACTCACCGCGTCGGAGTTGTTTGACCCAAGGCCATGTCATCCCCTCCCAATATTCAAATATGCTCAAAATGTCCCCCCCAATATATTGCTAGAAAATGTATTTCTGTTTATATGATTGTGGTTATGGTTGTACTTTATAAATCCCTAATCTCTGCCATTACATACGATGAAACAAGAAAAGGTAAAAAAAGAAAAAAATAAAGCAATATAATACAATACACTATTAGACATTATTGTTAAAAATAAATAAAAAGTCAAACCTATGTGCTAGTAAATTTTTGAATATTTTAGACAGGAAATTAGTTTTCAAATTTAGATTTTTTTCTGGGGGGAGGGGGGGGACCCCCAGACCCCCTGGAAGATTTGGTCCCCCCAAATGTTGACTCCATGGCTACGGCCTTGGCTTGACCACACTTCGCCACACAAGTTGGTGAAACGGGGGCTACTCTTCATAAGGACCAGATCAGACACCAATCGTTGTGTTTGGGAACCCACTCACGCTTTCTGGTTACGAGTGCCTTGCACAAACCACTGTCCCACCGCTCTACAAACGCCATCATATAATCATCTAATGAGATGCACATAAAGTTAATTGTATCGTTGTACATACTTACTGCAATGTAGATGTTACTGTAATTTTCGGTCGAATATATCGTTGTCACACCGTAAGATATGGCAACAGCATGGGGAGGCCTACATCCAGCAGTAAATTGATCATGGCTGATGGTGATTCTGCATTGTAATATTTTTTCATTTGTGTATGTGTGTTGCATGTTTAAAATACGCTACGCAATATTTTTTCTGATTCAGATTTTTTTCTGTGTTCCAGTGAACAATTAATGCTTTAGATAATTAAGAGTTCCATTGCGTAATAATAGGGGTTTTCCCCTTTTTTCTGGCAACAAAGCTGAAACCTTTTTACAAGGATTCATGTCTGCATTAACCACAATATCTGCAGCCAAAATGCAAACAAGAAACATGCTATGACAATATATGTATTGTCCTTGAAACTGATTGGTCCACACCAAGGGACGGCTTTCTTTTGAGCCTCGACCCAATTGGTGCTCGACCAGATGACGCCAAAAGGCGTACAGCTCAAAGACAATGCACTATCAAAGTTTGGTTAATGCAGACGTAAAAAAGGTTTCAGTTTTGTTGCCAGAAAAAAAGGGGAAAAACCCTATTATTACATTTTGGTACTGGCAAAGGAGGTCTAATGATGTAGTTCCATTGCGTTTTACTACTTAGAGGTGGCAATGTGGCTCTGAAGGCAGAGAGCACTGGGCCGGTAAAAACTGAACAACTGAGTTCGCAGTTACTGCTACACACACACACACAAGTCGCCATCCACATTTAAATACCACCGTTGGTGTTGCGCTTCAAGCCGGCTAATTCTCAGCTGTGAGAGTAAAAAGAAAACCAAAATGTAATTGCAGGGTGTGTGTGAAAGTGCGCCCCCTACTGTGCGAACTGATTTACAAGGTTCTGCGAGAAAAACCAACCCCTCGGCCACGTGGGGTAGAGCGGCTCTTGCGAGGATGTCCGCATCTCGAGCCTCCCGTCACGTGACCGGTCACGCGCCGCACGTGTGCGCGAGAAAAACACACAAAAAAACACACGAACGCACTTGGAGGGGAGATGCAATGGGAAAATGTTTACGTAATTAAAATTGCGAATTATTTTTTTGTTGCTGCGCATTATTTGAGATTTCGTATATGTTAAACGAATTTAATAATATTATCTCTGGGATTTATTTTTAATGCCAGTATCATAAACACAGGTGTTGAGGTGTTTGAGGTGTCCAAAAAAATACCTATTACAAGGCATCAATTCTGCATTGACCACATATACTTGTTCTTAAACATACAAACAACGTTTTTGTTCACAATTATAATCTTTATCCTATGAAGCGTCTTTCAGCTCGAAATATCTCAAAGTTGTGAACACAAAAAAGTAGAGTGTAAATAAAAAGCAACGGAACGACAGGAAAAGCAAATAAGAACAATCATGACAACTACACTCGAAATATAGCTAGACTGCTGACAGTCTACGATTAAAACCATTAATAATGCTTGCACTCAGAGTAGAGTTAAATACAATCAATTTAAATCAGGAAAATCCACCAACACCTGTTGGTACTAAACTGGTTCTATTTTCGCTTAGATATTAGAAATGCTGATGATCACGGTGGTGGTGGTGATAATGAGGATTTTAAAGACCAACCCTGGGAGTTCTTGCCGAGGTTGTCGGTGGGATGGGAGGGGGGGAGCAGCATCCCTGTTAAATTTGCACCTCCGATTAACACGGTTGGCTATGTACGATGCGAAATAAGTTCCACATACATACATGCCCATTTAACGGTGTTTTTTTTAATTACTTATCACAGTATGCCCTTAACGTTCCTCCCCCTCCACCCCCACTTGTAGAATAAACAACATTTAACAAACGCATTTAAAATAATATATTTATAAGCATTATTGTATGTCAAATGCGTCGTTGCCACGCAATGCTAACGTGCTGTGTCATCGCCCCACAGTGACCGCGGATAGACGTGGACAGAGCCGGGGATTGAACTCGCGCCCGATATTGTCCAAGGCAAGAGGGAGAGAGATGGGAAGGAGGGAGAACGACCAGAGCGGAGATGGAGGGGTAACAACAGCAAGAGACCACGTGTGGGAGTGATATGGAAGACACGCCAGCGCTTGATCAATGGCCATCAGGATCGGTGTGGAGAAGGATGAGCAACCCTCCTCCATGATCATCGTGGTGGCGTTTGAAGATGCCGCAACAGCTGCAGGAGATTATTGCTGCTGCTGATATTGACGATGTCCTCGCTTCTCACGGTGCTGGTGATGAATGTATTGATAATGACGATTGCTAATGACGCCGTTGCTACTGATCATGATTGTGTGGTTGTTAGGAATGATAATGATGTTGCTACTGCCCGTGATGACGATGACGATGATGTAGCTGAAGAAGAATTGTGGATTTTGTCATTGCTACGGACGACGACGAAGAAACAGCTTTTTACCTTACTGCCGATGGTGATGATGACGATGGTGGCAAGGTCGACGATGATGACGGTGATGTGACCGGGCCAAAGGGACGGCCCCTGTCTTTGGTTATCTAGCTGTATGAGTGTCAGAATCCCGCCATAAAGCTACTTAACCAAAAGCAGGGATCCGTTCTGCGCGCATCGCTCCACGGAACACCGAGCGGCAAGCCGGAGGGATGGCCACGAAGACGCATACGACAAAGCGAGTAGGCGCCACGCGCTGCGGGAACGGCGATCAAACCCCTGGGGTTTTGGTGTAGATCATTGAGACCATGCGGCACGACCCTCGGCTGCTGTTGCACGTGAGTGACGAGGGGGATCTTACCGCACGCTACTCCTCGACGGCGCCTGTTCCACGTGCCTTTCTCCGATGACTTTGCAAAGGCTGCTCTATAAGCGGTTCTCAATTAGGGCCCTCCAGGAGGCTCCTCCTGTATGTAGGTGTCTATGTATGTTGAACTTCGTTTGCGCAGCACGTAGCCGACCGTGCTAATCGGACGTGCGACAGCCTCCTCAATGAGATTCCTCCATGATGCTACTCTATGATGCCCCTCCATCCTTGGTCCTCCATGATGCCCCTCCATCTTTGGTCCTCAATGATGCCCCTCTGTGATACCCCTCCATCCTTGGTCCTCCATGATGCTCCTCCATGATGCCCCTCATCTTTGGTCCTCCATGATGCCCCTCTTGATGCCCCTCCACGCTTGGTCCTCCATGATGCTCCTCTTGATGCCTCTCCATCCTTGGTCCTCCATGATGCTCCTCTGTGATGCTTATCCATCCTTGGTCCTCCATGATGTTCCTCTGTGATGCCCCTCCATCCTTGGTCCTCCATGATGCTCCTCTGTGATGCCCCTCCATCCTTGGTCCTCCATGATGCCCCTCCATTCGCTTTTCACTTAGATTACTCATCCATTCTCCTTATTAACGCTCCTCCACGAATCTGCTCGATGAGATTCCTCCTCAATGTGATCTGTTTCCTTGTGGCTATTCCACGTGGTTCTATTAATCTGCTTCCTCAATGTGTCTGTTCCACGTGGTTCTATTAATCTGCTTCCTCCTCAATGTGGCTGTTCGACGTGGTTCTATTAATCTGCTTCCTCAATGTGGCTGTTCCACGTGATTCTATTAATCTGGTTCCTCAATGTGGCTGTTCCACGTGGTTCGATTAATCTGCTTCCTCCTCAATGTGGCTATTCCACGTGGTTCTATTAATCTGATTCCTCCTCCTCAATGTGGCTGTTCCACGTGGTTCTATTCATCTGCTTCCTCAATGTGGCTGTTCCACGTGGTTCCATTAATCTGGTTCCTTCTCAATGTGGCTGTTCCACGTGGTTCTATTTATCTTGTTCCTCAATGTGGCTGTTCCACGTGGTTCTATTCATCTGATTCCTCCTCCTCAATGTGGCTGTTCCACGTGGTTCTATTCATCTGGTTCCTCAATGTGGCTGTTCCACGTGGTTCGATTAATCTGGTTCCTCCTCAATGTGGCTGTTCCACGTGGTTCTATTCATCTGATTCCTCCTCCCAATGTGGCTGTTCCACGTGGTTCTATTCATCTGGTTCCTCAATGTGGCTGTTCCACGTGGTTCGATTAATCTGGTTCCTTCTCAATGTGGTTGTTCCACGTGGTTCTATTCATCGTGTTCCTCAATTTGGCTGTTCCACGTGGTTCTACTAATCTGGTTCCTCTTCAATGTGGCTATTCCACGTGGTTCTATTAATCTGCTTCCTCAATGTGGCTGTTCCACGTGGTTCTATTAATCTGCTTCCTCAATGTGGCTGTTCCACGTGGTTCTATTAATCTGCTTCCACCTCCTCAATGTGTCTGTTCCACGTGGTTCTACTAATCTGGTTTCTTCTTAATGTGGCTATTCCACATCGTTCTATTAATGTCCTTCCTCAATGTGGCTATTCCACGTGTTTCTATTCATCTGGTTCTTCCTCAATGTGGCTGTTGCACGCGGTTCTATTAATCTGATTCCTCCTCCTCAATGTGGCTGTTCCACGTGGTTCTATTCATCTGGTTCCTCAATGTGGCTGTTCCACGTGGTTCGATTAATCTGGTTCCTCCTCAATGTGGCTCTTCCACGTGGTTCTATTCATCTGATTCCTCCTCCCCAATGTGGCTGTTCCACGTGGTTCTATTCATCTGGTTCCTCAATGTGACTGTTCCACGTGGTTCGATTAATCTGGTTCCTTCTCAATGTGGCTGTTCCACGTGGTTCTATTCATCGTGTTCCTCAATTTGGCTGTTCCACGTGGTTCTACTAATCTGGTTCCTCTTCAATGTGGCTATTCCACGTGGTTCTATTAATCTGCTTCCTCAATGTGGCTGTTCCACGTGGTTCTATTAGTCTGCTTCCTCAATGTGGCTGTTCCACGTGGTTCTATTAATCTGCTTCCTCAATGTGGCTGTTCCACGTGGTTCTATTAATCTGCTTCCACCTCCTCAATGTGTCTGTTCCACGTGGTTCTACTAATCTGGTTTCTTCTTAATGTGGCTATTCCACGTCGTTCTATTAATGTCCTTCCTCAATGTGGCTATTCCACGTGGTTCTATTCATCTGGTTCTTCCTCAATGTGGCCGTTGCACGTGGTTCTATTAATCTGCTTCCTCAATGTGGCTGTTCCACGTGGTTCTATTAATCTGCGTCCTCCTCAATGTGGCTGTTCCACGTGGTTCTATTTATCTGGTTCCTACTCAATCTCCTCTGGGATCTTTGTAAGGCCTCCGGGCTCCTCTGTGAAGCTCCTCTCTCATGAAAAAATAAAAAAATACATTTGCATTCTAATGGTTTCAACGCTGCCACGTTTTGTTCCCATTGGCAACTCGCACCTTTTGTGGGCAGGAAAGAGACGCGTTTAGCTTGAACAGGGGAAAGAAGCCTTCAGAGGCGCCACGAAGCTGCCTGAGTTCGACCACGAGGCACGGTTGGAGCCGGTACTTCTACTGTCACTGCTGCTGCTTGACGATGGTGGCGCTGTTGATAATGGCGCTGCTGCTGATGATTGTAGACTGTGTTGGCGATGATGATGAAGGCGGTGTGGTGGTGATGATGGTGTAGATACTGGCGCAGTTGATGGTGGCGCTGCTGCTACTGCTGCATACCCATCCTTAGACCCGCATAGATTCCCCCTACCGATCTTAGCGACGAGGCTTCCAATTTTCAAAGCTCTTTTACCGCATTCCGATTTAAAATGCAAAGGAAAAATATTTCCAACAGCAATTTTTGAAAAAAATATGAATCAGCATAATTAGCTTTGGTCGATAATCGGATTGTGGTGAAGGGGTTAACAGTCTGCCAGTCATATCCCTTATATCGGTAATGATTGGCAAGTATGGGGTGTTGTTACTGCTCCTACTGCTGTTGGTGGTGGTGATGATGATGATTATATGTATTGTGTGGGTGTGATGATGGTGGTGGTGATGTTGATGATACTGGGATTGGTCGTGTAGCGGATAGCGCACTGCGCTACGAACCCGGCGACCCGAGTTTGATTCCCGCTCACGTCCAAAACTACAGACTATTATTTGAACCGGTCCTGGGCCTCCGAAAGATCGATTCAGTCTCATATGAGTACCTGGTGCTTTGTGTAAACCTCGTCACTAGGGAGACAAAGGCGTGATGCTGTCCACCCATCCTCTCGTGTGCCGTGCCGGCCTTCATAGGTGCTCGCTAACAGCACTTGCCCCAAAAGTCTAACGAGGCTATACGGCAGAATCTTTGTCTTTGATGATGCTTCTGTCGGCCAAAATGATGTCCGTGTGTTTCTTCTTCTATTGGTGGTGTGGATAATAATGCGTTTTTATTTACTCACGAAAGCCTCACTGAGTCTCAAAACTCTTTATTCAAGAGGAGGCCATATATTGGCGATGCTTAGCAGTGTCGAGGGTTTGATTCATGGATGGAAACCAAAGAGCCCAGAGAATCGCTGCCGTGCATACGAGGGGATACCAAACAAAGTCAACGATCCCCCGTGTAGCCTGTAACGGACTGTAGGGGCAAGTGCTGTTAGCGAGCACCTATGAAGGCCGGCACGGCGCACGAGGGGGTGGGTGGTCAGCACCACGCCAGGCAGTCTTTGATTTCCCAATGGCGATGTTTTTTACACACCACACCAGATACTCATTTGAGGCTGAGTCGACATAGGGGAAGCCCAGGAACGGTCCAGGTAATCGTCACTGGCATTGGCCGTGAGCGGGAATCGAACTCGGCTCGCCGGGTTCGTAGCGCTCAACCACAGCACCACCGCTCCCCACACTCGCAGCCTCAACGCGGGCAGATTTGGGGCTCCATTGCCTGCCTGACATCTCCTGACCACCTGACAATTTCCAGGCAATGTTTGTACGACATTTAATAGCCAGGTTTAACCCTGCTTAGCCTCTGAAACCCAGTGATGTTCCCGGTGTTCCAATGTGGTGTTGGTGTTGTTGTTGCTGCTGATGATGATAAAGTGTCATCATTATTTGGCTGTCGGTGCTGGTGACAGTGATGTTGGTGGTGGCGCTGCTGGTGATGATGATCATCAGCATCATAATGATGCTTCCGTCGTTGCCGGCAATGTTGATCTCTGTGGTGTTTAATTCTTATAATGGAGCTACTGCTGATACCGGCCACTGCTGCTGATGATGATGACGATCAACGCCATTCTGTGGCGCCCATAATGGTCGCAATAATTGTTCTGGTTGTCCCTGGCAATGTTGATGTTGTTCTTGCTGATGGCGGCGGTTGATGGTGGTGGCAGTGGCGGTGATGGAGAGCCATCTCGTTGTGATGTTTGTATGCAGAGGGTAGAGGGGGGGGGGGTCATGGCGGGGGACGTGGAATGCCGTGGATGTGGAAGGGTATTGCATAAGACCGTGGCTTTGTCCTCAGAGATTAACAAATCTGACGCCAACACCAATGAATGCTCACTCCATATTCCCCTCTCTCTCTCGCCCGCTCACTAATTACG